TGCCAACATCATGCAATCTACCTCGACACAATTCTCGTAGTCACATACAGTCACACATTTTCACTTACCGTACATGCGCACAAGCACGTCCCTTTTATCTCTTTATAATATATAAACTTCTTATTATAATTTTTTATAGAGGTTGTTTAACGTATATTTATTCACTAGGTATATATATATATATAATCACACGTGGGTACGTTTAATTCTTTTTATTTTATTCATTTTAACCTTCAGTCTGTCCAAACTGGATTTCATTCCGTCTAGATGGCCAGTTCGGGCCATCCCATAGTTTCGAACTTACCTGATGGTTTGCTCCGGTCCAGATTGCATCTGCCTGATCTGGACCATGTTCGGGTTCATTTTTTTTCGATTTATTTTGGTTCAAAGTGTTTGTTGGACTAGTTCGGACGGATTGGAAGTCCGGACCAAGTATCAGTCACCTCTTGGTCCATTCAGTTTGGGTCAAGACGAGATTTCTGGACTGTTTGGACAATTCGGGTCTTGGTCCATTCAGTTTGGGTCCGGACAAGAGGGAATCTCGCCAGAGATGGATTTCCAGTCGGCGAGGACGAGGGTGGTGAGGTGATCGAAGTTGTTAGATGGAAGGATGGATGGAGCCATACATGAGGCCCGTCCGACCAATTTTCTCGAAGATCGGATCCTCTAAGTCTCCACGTAGAGAAATGTTGGAGACGCGGCGGTTTTCCAATTCTTTTGATTCAGTTTAGTAAATAGAAAACTGAGTTTAGGGTTCTCAAGTCGGATTAAATTTCGAACAAAAAAAATACTGATGTGGCAAAAATTCATATAAAGTTGTTGATGTGGATGTGTTGACATCAGTATTTCGGACCAACATGGATTTTCGGTCATATAAAATTGTAGTCAAACCGATCAACGGTTTATTAGAGAAACAGTTTGCATGTCCGAAGTTTTGTTCAATTACAAGTTGCAAGTTTGTGTATTAAATGACAATTTTTGGAAGTTGAAGGTTTATTTGTATATATTTTAGCAAGTTGAAAGTTTTTTAGTAATTTTTTTTGCTTTTATAAATATTTCATGTCTAATATTATTTCAATCATTTTATTTCAAAATATTATTATTTGTTTTATAATTTTTTAAGTAAAAATTTGTCGAATTATTTCTCAAATTAATAATGTATGAGTTTAAAAATGATTTTTCATAAGTATAATAGTTTACAACTTATCATTAAATATAATTATTAATCTTTTTATGTAAATAGTATTAATTATTTTTTTTGTAAAGGTCTCCTAAAAAATAATTAAAAAATATCTATTACTCATTTAAAATATTTACAAAAGTCTCCTGAAATAAAGAATATCACTTTTTTTTGTTAAAGGTTGTTGTTGTATTCTCTATTCCAAAAAATTTACATACAAAGCAAAAACAAAACGAAAGTTAAATACAATCCAATAGTAACTAAGCAGAGTAGTGATTAAAAAAGTCAAGAAAACCACAAATAGAGAAATAGAGATCAGTTTTCTTAGTCAATGTTGACTCTGAGAGAAAAAACTGAATGTGTAATCTAGAGTTCCTTTCCTTCCATAGTATATAGATCGTTAGTTGCCAAAGGATTTGGGATATCTATCGTAAGTGTGGATTTGCCCAAATACTTAATAACCCACATATAATATGATACCACTCAAACGAAGCAATCTGTATGCCAATACGATTCAGAGAAACCCTCAAGATATTTCTTGTGAAGTGGCACTTTAGAAGAGGTGGTTCGTAGACTCTATAGCATTGTTACAAAAGAGACCGTTTAGATCAATTTGAATACCTCATTCTGGCAGCTTATCTCTCGTAGGGCAACAGTTACAAAACAACTTTACTTCGATGGATTCACGTATTTCTTTCTCTCCAAATGATGTAAATACAATCTTACCATATACAAAGAGTACGGAGATGGAGGTATTTACCCACAAATAGTCACGCTATTTTCATTATGATGAACTGATTCATTCGATCGTTTTAATTTTTTTTAAGATTCGAATTTTTTGAACCTAATTCAGAAAATATGGATTGGTTCGCAAACCATACCCAATTTAATATCACTAATCGTGGTTGGAATCTATAATAATATTTAAAATTTTAAAATAATAAAAAATAATTATCCCTTTTATAATTTATTTTCATTCTTTTATTTCTTTAAGTGTGGATTAAGATATTTTGTACACGTATTGAAGATATAAACATATACTATTATGCTATCAAATCGGATTAACAAATACAACCAAAAAAAAAATCAGGATTGTGTCAACGTCAGAAATTACGTCATTCAAATGATAGAATTTCAACAAACCCATTAACGCATGATGTTGACCAATGGAATGATAAAGCTGGAAGAGGAATGTAATTCAATTACGCAACTAATTTAGGATGTCATTTTCAAATTTTCTCATTTTTTTCTTTTTTTTCTCAGATATTTTCAAACAAGTGAATCAACTTTTCAATATCATTTTATTATTATTATTATTATTATTATTATTATTATTTGGGAAAATCACCAAAAAAAACTTTGTATTCTTTCCAAATCAATAAAAAAACCATGTACTTTTTTGTTTACCAATTAAACCTTGTACTTGGTGTGATTAACCTATAAAACTCTGAACTTTTTAAAAATTCACTGAAGTCATGTCATTGCCACATCATTGTTTTTGTTTGAATTGGCAGACGCGGATGGTTTTCGGTGAATTTTTAAAAAGTTCGAAGTTTTATAGGTTAATCACACCAAGTATAAGGTTTAATTGGTAAACAAAAAAGTACATGGTTTTTTTGTTGACTTGGAAAGAATACAAAGTTTTTTTGGCGATTTACCCTTATCCTTATTATTATTATTATTATTATTATTATTATTATTATTATTATTATTATTATTATTATTATTATTATTATCCTTAATTTTCACATACCTAACTCGATAGCTTCAGTTGGCTGCTTCAGTTTCTAACCGCAGCCCGAAACTAATTGAAATTAAAATATTGTTTTCGCCTTGCTTGCATTCATGCTTCCTGTTTTAAATTTATGAAAATAAATATTTGATTAAATCAATAAATACTCACGAGGGGAATAGAAATTTTTTTAAGAATAAAGAAAATTCAAGAAAAACATGATAAGTAACGTTTGGTAGCAAAAGTTGTATACATTTCGAAGAGAAACGTGATTAGTCTTGTCAATATCCGAGTAGAATAAGGTTTTACTGGGAAGAATGTGTACAGTACATATATTACCACGTATATATAAAGAGAACGATTAAAAATTAGAAGTTATTAGTTTGATTTCATTAGAGTTTATATAGATTTAATACAAATTTATTAATTTTATATAAATTAATCCTTCTTAATAATACTGAAGTATATAAATCTATAATGCTAGTCTTTGATTCGTATATATAGTATATACATAGTTAATAATAAATTCTAAAATGTTATTTGTGCTGTTTACAAGATTTTATAAATTACTGATTAATTCGCATATCCGGTCAGTGATGGTTACTCTAGCCCATCATCTTTTACCATTGACAATTTTTTTCGCTTTTTTGTCGTGGAAAATAAAATCTCGAATAAAGCAATTATAATAACTATATAATATCTATATTGAATGATTTATAACCGTATAATGGAATAAAATAATGATTAAAAAATAAAATTTGTTTAGAATTTGGATATTTTTTTAATAAAGGATTCAAAACAAACTACAAGTAAAACTGGAAATTTGGATAAAATCTGAGCATATTTAGTTTTTGTAAAAAAAAATTATAAAAAGAAGTCTGAAAATAATGGAATCCAATTTAAGTAAAACTTGGGATTTCGATAGTATAATTGAGTTTTTATTCGAATTTTGATATTCATTAACTCTTATAACTTTATTTTTGGTTTGATATGGTTTGTCTTTGCCACGAAGAAGAGTAGTTGTAGGTTATGAATTATGAAAATCTGGCAATGGAGTAGTCAAAAGCTTTAATGGTTTAATTTTTTTTAAAAAAAAAGTTATATTGTTAATCCGTTGTTGCATATTAGAATAAAATCTCGTATTAATATACAAATTTGTAAAAAACAAAATCAAATAAATCAACTAATTTTAAGATTTTCAAAAAAAAATATATAAATTCTTTTTAACATTCACATTAACACCTGAATTTTTTAAAAATTCCCAAAAGATAATATATCATGGTGGTATTTGAAAGTTGTTTAAAAGATTAAGATTTAATTACATAGTGATTTTTAAAGATAATTTAAATGTTCATGATTTATTTTAAATTCAAATTTTAATATAAAAATTTGGAAGACCTCATGTATTTATTTAGAAATTTTAAATTTTGTATATTTATTTAGAATTTTTTTACAAGTTGGTGTATGTATACGAGATTTTCATTGTTATTAATATTATTTTTACTTATGTGGGTCGAAATCTGAGACCATGGTGTCTCATACCATTGCCTGGCCAGCCTGGCAGCAGAAACGCCCACTCTTGCTGACCTCATTGCCATAACTATGCGTATATACACACATATATACAGATACAAAACATGTAACATCACACCATACATGTTATAATATATGAAATATATGCAATTATATATATATATATATATATATATATATATATATATATATTAAGCCAGGCTTGTAATAAATAATAATCCACGCACACCCACTTGCACCTCCTATATATACACTCATTTGCCTCCACTTTCTCTCGTTCAAGCAATTCCACATTCTTCGAATACAACCAAAGAAAAAAAAGTGTCAAAATCCCAGTTGCCACCAAAAAAAAAAAATGGGAGAGGTGAGTTACTGTCTTCAATTTGGATTCATGTTTCTTTCTTTGAAGTGTTTTGATCATTTCAATTTATTCAATCAAGGTTTTTTTTTTCCTTCTAACGTAATATATGTAGAAGCAAGAAGGTGTAAAAGTTGAGGAAGAGAAGAATCCGGCAGCGGCCGCCAACTCCGCCGGAGATGGGGC